CCCCTAAAAACCCCCCCCATCCCCTCTCGCCGTGCCTCCACACTTTCCATCCCCTTCGTAACCAGTGGCCCCCTTAAACTGGCGGCCATATCTGCCAACCTCTTGCACTCCTCCGGGCCGTACACCTTCTGCCCCGACGTCGTGAGCCCCCCCCTAAAAAATTTCTGGGGGTCTCTCCTCTCGGTGGACCAGGCCTCCATAGTCCTCTCCCAACCTTCGCTCTTCTGGCTCCACCACTCGTATTCCAACTGCTGCTTGGTCTCGTTGTGGTGGGTTTTTCTGTCACGATCGCCAATAAAGTAGGACCAAAGCGCAGCGTTGGGAGTGAACATGATGACTTTAACGTTGAAATAACGACAAAACAAAACACGATCCGTAACGTCCTCAGTACACCGACTGAACATAGAACAAAAACCCACAACCACAAGGTGAACACAGACATATAAATATGGCTCCCAATCAGAGATAACGAGCCGACAGCTGACACTCGTTACCTCCGATTGGGAGTCACTGACCAAACATAGAACGCGAACACCTAGACACTACCCACAGTACACAACACACGGAAATCTACACACCCTGACTAAACACAAGTCCTAGAACCAGAGTGTGACATTACATCAATTTTAATCCCACTTTGTAAGACATTAACATTTGAAGAAATCCAAGGGGGGTGTAGACTTTCTATAGGCACTGTATTTCAAAATGTTAACACAGCAAACGTATTCAGAAAATGTAAACACATCAAACGTATTCAGAAAATGTAAACACATCAAACGTATTCAGAAAATGTAAACCCATCAAACGTATTCAGAAAATGTAAACACATCAAACGTATTCAGAAAATGTAAACACATCAAACTTATTCAGAAAATGTAAACACATCAAACGTATTCAGAAAATGTAAACACATCAAGCGTATTCAGAAAATGTAAACACAGCAAACGTATTCAGAAAATGTAAACACATCAAACGTATTCAGAAAATGTAAACACATCAAACTTATTCAGAAAATGTAAACACATCAAACGTATTCAGAAAATGTAAACACATCAAACGTATTCAGAAAATGTAAACACAGCAAACGTATTCAGAAAATGTAAACACAGCAAACGTATTCAGAAAATGTAAACATATCAAACATATTCAGAAAATGTAAACACAGTGAAAAAAACGCTTCATCACCAGGTGACATTTACACAACACTCCTCTCTCTCTCCCGGAAACCATCAACTCTTCAATTAACAGGTGGAACAGGAAGACATCATTAGTCAAAGCTGTGTGCGGTGCTATAAAGTGCAAAGTCCTTCAACGGGATAATTGAAGTCTGGTGTATTACCAAACTTATACTGTAGATCTACAGAGACATCATGAGAGCCACTGCAGCCGTCCTACTGGTCCTCTGTCTCCTGGCCATCAGTCATGGTAAGTTAACCATCATCTGAAGCATGCCTGCTCAACTTGGAGTTAATCATCAGGTTGGCTACATAATTTTCTCCTCCTTGTTGTCGGTGTACTCTACTCAGGTCTTTGTCTCTTTGTACTTTGTTTATGTGTCTTTGTCTGTGAGCTCTACTCATATGGCTTTGGTGTCAAAATAAGAAAATGAACTATGGGGACAGCCGAAGAACACTTTTAAATCTCTAGATAGCACTTATTTTCCTAAGAGTAGGCTTTATAACTCTGGTATATTAAATGGCCATTGAACAGCAGGAAATCTCCCAGATTGTTCCTTTAGCGTTCATGAAGTTCTATGCAGGTGTCCCTGTCTGATGCATGTTAATGCATGTTCAGTACTGGGGGGGAATTAGTCAGGATATTTGCAGAGAAATATGGTCTACAAAGAGTTTCCACAATATGCTTACATTCTAGGCAACTAGTCATTTGTTAATATTAAATTACACATTTCCCTCAGAGTAGTGTAGTGAGTAGTGGGTAGTTAACCATCTTTAACAAAGATGTGGTCCTCTGTAGCTCAATTGGTAGATCATGGCGCTTGTAACTCCAGGGTAGTGGGTTCGATCCCCGGGACCACCGATACGTAAAAATGTATGCACACATGACTGTAAGTCGCTTTGGATAAAAGCATCTGCTAAATGGCATATTATTATATTATTATTAACAGAGCACACTGTAAGATGTGTTGTCAAAGGCTTTATTTAAATCAACATAACAAATATGTCCCTGTGAGACTACAACAATAGGGCACCTGTCAATCAAACTATGCATCAGGGAACTAAAGGTTTACCAGTTCATGAACACTGTAGTACTTTAATCGTATCTAACATTCATAGTAAGAAGATTCACAAAACAGATCTCTCAAGTTTCACTGGATCTTTGCAGGGCAACCTTAAATCCCCCTGTTCAATATGATTAAAAAAACACTGAAATTAGTTTCAAACTGAATGCTTTATCCACGGGAAATGATTATGTAATGAGATAATGACAAGGATTCCATCCAACCCTATTGATGACCTCTGAAGCACAGCAAAACCCATGTGGATTGTGAGCAACATCACCGTGCCCAAGTTTACACTACGATTAAATAGCAGCTATGGCAAAGCTCTATTGAAGTGTTAATCAAGGAGTGATTAAGAAAACAATAAACTTTTAAATAGCTGTTGCTTGTCAATTATGTTAGAGAAAATTCTTTAAAATGTCATTAAGATCAGTGATTACTATTGATAGAAATAAAAAACTGAAAAAAATATTGTTAGAGCAATAGGTTTTAGAATGAAGGATTGTTCTGAACTAATGTTGATAATTGTCAAGCAGAACGCTGCTCCAGAAAGAGAGATCAATGAGTTAGCAAGTGAACTTTAGTCAGATCCTGAACGGCCTTCAGATGCAGAGGAGAGGCTAACGTTTGCACACCATGGTTAAGCCAGACTTGGACACGACCCAAAGACGGCCCAGGTCGTAGGTCACGTGCGTCATTGGTATGTACATTGGGACAATGCTCCATCCAGTGCCCTCTGGTTTACTGGCTGTGATGCCGTCTCTATGTTGAATAAAGAGGTGAGGTTCGCATTTAAAACTTAAATATTTTTTTAAAAGTACATACATCTTCAGACTTTATTAATTGTATATAGCTATTGATTATTGAACAATTTCTCTAGCTACATATCTCAGTTGTGTACCAAAACAAGCGGTGGGGTGACCGTGTAGTTGTTGTTTTTTTGAATCCCAAACTGTAGCTTTAAAGGATATCCAAACTTTTCAAAATGTACCATAAACTGTTCACACATTTCTTTATAAGTCTTATAAGTTTAGATCTGATTATATTTTACAGATTTGATTTATGCGTCTGTTTTAATTTTGGTATAAATTGCTTCACAAAGCATGTACAGTAAGGGTCAGAGTTATTCATAAAGATATCATTATTATTATAAGTTCTTATTACAAGTCATTTTAAAGTTACTAATATTGAGGGGGAAAAAGGTGGAACCATACACAAATGTAAGTATCAACTTTACCTGGTATAAACTTGGCCATCAGAGTTGACCCCAAAGACACTACCATCAGTTGCCACCTCAATCATGGAAAGCTTGCCGTCAATGTGACTCCACCCCTTGTTTTGACAAGTGTCTTTGTTCACATTCTGAAAACAAACAGATTCAAGTCAACCAGGGTTTTAGGACAATTTCAACAGTTATTATATGAAACAGTTTTAAAATAACTGACACTCTCCATACTCTACCACTCTACTCCACCTCTCACACTCTTTCCCAGATCTTACACTCATTAAGAAGATTTCATCATTGTTGTTGACTGCCCAGCACCCAAAGGGTCCACAACTGAGGTACTCCATACTTCCTGCCAATCTTATCGCTGTATGGCCTGCGTCTGTATCCTTGAAGCCAAGTGTTTCACTACTTCCCAAACAGAAGGGTGAATATTCCATGGTGGCCCCCACAATAAACCCGGCACCCCCAGCATCCACCTGCTTCACTTTGGCTGAAGACCACAAAGACAGAGACAGACAAGCAAACATGGAGTACGCATGTGTGAGTACTGCCAAATGACTTACAGTACAATGACATAATGTTGAACATGAATAATTTACCCTGATGGTATCAGGAAAGCTAAGAAGCAGGTGTCCTCTGGATTCATAACTGAGTAATGCTCTCCACTTACTTGCATATTGGTGCCAGTTACCGGCCACATACTTGAAGATGATGTTTCCGCTGTTGACACCCCAGATCCCTGCTGGTCCTATAGTGATATGCTTCAGGGAACCAGGCAGGGGGATCCATTTATCACCTACCATGTAGTAGGGGATTTGACTTGTGTTTGTTGCAACCACTTGTCCAAGTCCTGCGTCGATCTGCATCAGATTATATATATCCACTACAGTCTGACAGTCCCATGCTGTGGAGACACCAGATCAAAGACACATGAGTAGAGGACACCAGCAAAAAGGAGGATGAAATTATGGAGCCAACTTGATGATCAATTTCAAGTTTAGTGTAGAGTAGAGTTGCCTGTAAAATAGTTTTTCAGATGATGGTTAACTTACCATGACTGATGGCCAGGAGACAGTGGACCAGTAGGACGGCTGCAGTGGCTCTCATGATGTCTCTGTAGATCTACAGTATACGTTTGGTTGCAGTTTGGTTGAAGACAGACTTTTCCCCCTTATATAGCCCTGCAAACAGCTTTCAACCCCCATAAAATAATTATTAATGAGCTATTTATATTTGACAAACAACTTGTCCAAGGAAAAGTTAACGGGAGGGGGACATAACCCCACCCTCTCCCACATCAGACATACAATAATAATATATACTGAGCAAAAATATAAATGCAACGTGTAAAGTGTTGGTCCCGTGTTCTTGAGCTGAAATAAAATATCCCAGAAATGTTCCATACGCACAAAACGCTTATTTCTCTCAAAAAGCGTATTTCTCTCAAAAACCTTATCTCTCTCACCTACTGTACATGGCAGGTGGCATATTTGTAGAGCTGTTTGATAAGGTTCCTAAGCAACAAAGTGTTATAGGAGGACCCATATAATGTTTACACTGTACCAGACTAAGTTTAACACATTTTATACCGCTACCAACCCCCTCATTGGAGGACAACTTTATTTTCATATTTATAACATAAGTCATTTTTTGTTTAATTTGTTATATTCTTTAAACACTTACACTACATGACCAAAAGTATGTGGACACATGATCGTCAAACATATCATTCCAAAATCATGGGCATTAATATAGAGTTGGTCCCGCCTTTGCCGCTATAACAGCCTCCACTCTTCTGGGAACGCTTTCCACTAGATGTTGGAACATTGCTGCAGGGACTTGCTTACACTCAGCCACAAGAGCATTAGTGAGGTCGGGCACTGATATTGGGCGATTAGGCCTGGCTTGCAGTCGGCATTCCAATTAATCTCAAAGGTGTTCAATGGGGTTGAGGTCAGGGCTCTGTGCAGGCCAGTCAAGTTCGTCCACACCGATCTCGACAAACCATTTCTGTATGGAAATCGCTTTGTGCACGGGGGCATTGTCATGCTAAAACAGGATGAGGCCTTCCCCAAACTGTTTCCACAAAGTTGGAAGCAGAGAATCGTCTAGAATGTCATTGTATGCCGTAGCATTAAGATTTTTCTTCACTGGAACTAAGGGGCCTAGCCCAAACCAGGAGAAACAGCCCCAGACCATTATTCCTCCTCCACTAAACCTTACAGTTGGCACTATGCATTCGGGCAGGTAACGTTCTCCTGGCATCCGGCAAACCCAGATTCGTCAATCGGACTGCCAGATGGTAAAGCGTGACTCATCACTCCAGAGAATGTGTTTCCAATGCTCTAGAGTCCAATGGCGGTGAGCTTAACACCACTCCAGCCGACACTTGGCATTGCGCATGGTGATCTTAGGCTTGTGTGTGGTTGCTCGGCCATGGAAAGACATTTCCATTTCACAATAACAGCACTTACAGTTGACCGGGGCAGCTCTAGCAGGGCAGAAATTTGACGAACTGACTTGTTGGAAAGTTGGCATCCTATGACGGTGCCACGTTGAAAGTCACTGAGCTCTTCAGTAATGCCATTATCGTGTCCCGTCGGATATTGGTGGCTATTGCTGTCAAACAAAGAGTCCGCTTAGGCTGCACCTTGATTAGAAGCTTTAATTAACATCACAAGTTTACAGCATAAGTTACAGACCCGCGGTGTCTGGAGAAGCACCGTCCCAAATTTATCTGAATACTTCTGACTCCCCCTTTGTCTAGCTCCTACTTATAAACAATGGCAAAAATGGGTTGCTCCCTCTTTCGTCCAATCACCGGTCTCCCCTGGGGCGTCACCCTCCAAACGGCTACATTTGAACTAAGATAAACATCCTCTGGTTCCATTAAGAAAGTCATAATCTTTAATACACTACACCATTCTACTGCCAATGTTTGTCTATGTGGATTGCATGGCTGTGTGCTCGATTTTATACACTGAAATAGCCAAATCCACTAATTTAAAGGGGTTTCCACATACATTATATATACAAAAGTATATTGTTTCTCCCTTTCCATCCTTGTTTCTCAGTATTTTGTCCCTCCCTCCTTATAAGGGTATAAAACATATTGAATAGTCACACCAACTGTAAGGAACAGTTTCACCATAAAGTTCAAACAAATGTCACAACATTGAAATCACACATTGAATCACCTGCCAGTAAAAGTCTATTTCATGAGGAAGTGGATAGTACATATACCGTAAGTATTTTTGTAATCAACAAAACAAATACCTGGGGAATATTAGGGGTGGAGGTAGCCTTGACGTTAGAGAGGCGGAACAGTAACCAGAGGGTTTCAAATTGCAAAACCGGAAATTACTGGAGTTTTGCAGCGTTGCCTTGGAGAAAATAATCTCCATAGTTGAATAACACAAAATGTGTTTCAAACTCAATGCTTTATTTATGGAAAATCCTGATGTAATATGAGAGATGATGAGCTATGACAAGGACTGCATTCACTGAAAAATAGCTAAACCAATGTGCATTGTGAGCAACATGACAGTGCCCAAGTCTTCACACCATGATAATATCCTCTTGGAGGCTCTATTGATGACATGGTGTGAATCAAGGAATGAGAATGAATGTTACAGACAACACCATGCTATCTCTCATACACGGTAACCTAACGTAGCAGGCGTAAACGAAACACCTGAAACTACTATACTGCCCTACCAAGCAAAAGAGCAGTAACTGCGTGTTTCGTCAAAAATGAGTTATACATTTTTTATACATTAACTACATGCTTTATCATGTGGACAAATATTCTGCCTCCATTGTGTTGTATTATGGAGAAAATGGGGGGTTCATGTTTGCAGTAACTCCAAAAAAGATCAAGTGAAACCAAGGAAAAAGGCAGTAATTGTTATCACTCACGTCAGGTACTGCCTTTTACCTTGGTTTCACAGAGCTTTGGGCTGCAGTGACTACGGTAAACCTTGGTATTATGTATTGTTCTTTGCTGATACAAATATCAAACTATATGACACTGACAGACACATACAAATAAATATATTAACCAAAGTTTGTATTTGTATTTTATCGTCATGGAAACATATTCCAGTGGGTGTACCAAGCAACAAGGTAGTAACTGCAGTCTAGGATCAAAGGTCATGTCAGAGGTCAGGGTCAATATGATTGGAAAATTACCTCATAGTAAGACAACAGATAACCACATCTCCAATGATCTGCCTACAATTCATTTGGCTGGACAATAAAACAACTTTGAAGTAATTCTTCCCAGTTGCACTCTATGAGCAGTTACTGCTTATTGCTTGGTAGGGCAGTATACTGTAGATCCCCTACATCAATGGTGTCAAACTCATTCCATGGACGGCCGAGTGTCTGTGGGTTTTTTGGTTTTTACTTTCAGTTAAGACCTACACAACCAGGTGAGGGGAGTTCCTTACTAATCAGTGACCTTCATTCATCAATCAAGTACAAGGGAGGAGCAAACATCCGCAGACACACTGCCCTCTGTGGAATGAGTTTGACACCCTTGATGTAGGGGATCTATAGTAGTTTCAGGCGTTTCGTTTACACCTGCTACGTTAGGTGTCACAGCCAGACTTGGAGATGACCCAAAGATGTCCCAGGTCGTAGGTCACGTGCTTCATCCATTGGGACAATGCTCCATCCAGTGCCCTCTGGTTTACTGGCTGTGATGCTGTCTCTGTGTTGAAGAAAGAGGTGGGGTTCACATGTTTAAAGCTCATCAATTTTTTTTTTAAAGAACATAAAATTGTGGAACTTTATTAATTGTATATAGTCATTGATTGTTGAAGAATATAACTTATGAATGACTCATGAGCTTAATACAACTGCATCAGAAGAAAATATGTAAGATTTTACTCAATTGGTTGTAAACAATGCTATTGTAAACAATATATAGCTTTACAAAACATGTTTATATTAAAATTCATTTTGTTATCATCTGTCTGTCCTTACATCTATTGATCCATCTATGAATTAAAGAGTGGCTACATTTCTCCTGTCCCATCCCTCATCTGTTTACTAAAACAAGTGGCGGGGTGGCCATTTAGTTGTTTTTTATCCCAAACATATTTTACCGTACACTGTCTTCACATTCCTTCAAAGTCTATTATATAAGTTTAGTTTCGACCCCCCCCCCCCCCACCACCACCCCCCTCCACTCCTACCTACCTCCTCCTTCATCCTGCGGTTCAACCCCCTCCCCTACCTACCTGCAAGGTGTGGCAAGGAGTGGAATTTTAGAACATACAGACTGGATTTCTCCAGGCAAGACCAGACCATCAGTTCTATCAAATCTCTCCTGAGTAACCACAGACCACAAAAACAGGTGACCTACACACATTTAAAAAAAGATATGTCCAGCAACAACATGAAGACAGGGGCAGCATATAAGTCAATACCAGAAGCATTTATTGACTGATCTCAAAAGTGTTGGCTTACCAGGGTTGGTGGAGCCCTCAGTTTCATCTTTGCCTCGCAAAGCTAACTCAAACACTCCGCAAAACTTCACACACTGGATTAGCCGGCTGAGGATGTGGCGGTTCTTGCTAATGTCGTAGTAAATATATTTGTTATAGTGAATATGGAATATGATATGTTGAGTAAAATGTTGTGCTAAGATCTATTTAGGTCAGGAGCTGGTTATAAGTTATGTTCCTATCCAATGACAATGGACAAAAGGGTCCTATCTTGTCAGCCTTGTCAGTTTCAGTTCTCCAGTAAACTTGTGATTATCAACACTAACCTCATCGTTGTGGCGGCGGACAGCTAGCCTGTATCCCTCATCCAGTTGAGTGGGAATGTTCACTCTCCCCAAAGCAGACAATCTCAAACAGCTATCCATGTGGGTCTTTGACAGCTCATGTTTCTTAATCTTTCCTGAAAGATGGTGCATGTCCGTTACACACCAGTCGCTGTCCAAGCGGTGCTGTCTGCCGTGCCGCCTTCAGGGTGAAAGAGTAAGCAGGGGGTAGCAGAAGACTGCATTAGCTACATCGCAGCCTGCTAGCCAGGTTTTTCGTTCGTACCAATTTTTGGAAAATCCTCGGGTGTAGGACTTCCCCCCTTTAGTAGAAACCTGTTGAATTATTAAACTTGGTCTGGGAGGTC